TTTATTTATTTATTACATTTTAGTTGGCTACAGAATATTTTTTCATGCTTAAAATGTAGTCATCATTTTTACAATTGCATACATGTGCTATATAATAAAGTAAAAAATAAAATAAATAATGAAACAAGTGATAAAACAAGATCAAAAGAAAGAAAAAAACTGAACGAATGGAATTTTTTTTTCCATAGTATGTCACACATTTGTGCTCTGTAATCTCTGAACGTGCTACTATTAATACATGCATTGTTTTATTTGTAAGTTTTGCTGACAGCACAGACTCAGAGAGAGTTGGTGAGCGCTACTATATCACAATCTCCGCTGCTTTTTTTACATTTAAAGCCATCAGATGTGACTGTGCATTTGACATGATTGCGTCTCGGGGTTTGTAGATGAGGGTCGTGCGGCTCTGAATCTAAAAGCGCAGCAGGTCTGCAAACGCTGCCAAAAAATCCATATGGCCAAAGCCGGCCTAAGTTCAAAAAGTCCCGTTTGATGTAAAGAGTTGAAAGAAATCCGCTAGGAACAGTAAACTTTTCAAAAGTTGAAGATCAATGGCATGTGAAGGCTTTTTTATTTGACTTCTTTTCTAGATTTGATAAAGGCCGCAGTATATCTATAATTTCTGGCTTTTTTAATCCCTTTAAATATGAAATGTAAATGATGTTTGTGACTGTGTAATCTCTCTACTAAAGGATGCAGTGGACAGTTTTTTGGTTCTGGTGTATGTGTGTGTGTTATTACAGTAAACATTTGCAGCACTGTGGGCTTCTGATTTATCAAAGTATCCCCTAAACAGTGTTTACAACTTGCGTTCAGTTCGAAATGGATTGGTTTGAATTGCACTGTGTCATTAAACTGAAGTGAACTGTGCTCTGTGTTGAAGCTGTGCATCAGTGTCAGGCTCTGACGGTGATGTGTGTTTCAGCTGATCTGGGAACAGCTCTAACGCTGGGCTCGGTGTCAGTAATGTGTGCTTTGACTGTTCCAGAACGCTGGGTTTGTTAGTGAAGAGGCTGGAGAGAGGAGGAAAGGCGGAGCGCGAGACTCTGTTCCAGGAGAATGACTGCATCGTCCGGATTAATAACGCAGACCTGCGCAACATCCGATTTGAACAGTAAGACACACACACTGCTCACTTGTTACTCAGGAACAAACATTCAGCATACAAATTCCTCTGTACTTGCAGCGCGGGTACAGATGGCCAAAAAGTGCTCGACTTCTTGACTTGTCTTGACATTGTCTCCACTTTATCCTTAGAAGCTCTCTGTGCTTTTACATTTTCAAGTTCTGTCAGCCTTCAGCAAACTCTCATCTTCCCCATCTGGAGAAGCTAATTGAAAGATTGATCATACGTTTCATATAAATTTCCTCATTGTTTGATAAATGTGATGCTGACTGAGATACTTCCTGTAGCCAGAACATCTGAAAACATGCAAATACAACATTGTTAGAACAATAGTGCACACACACACACACACACACACACACACACACACACACACACACACACACACACACACACACACACACACACACACACACACACACACACACAAGTTTCTTTAACAACTATCTAACTTTGGTGTAAGTTTTATGCACAAGGCTTTGCACAAGTAGTTATGTTGTCAATCATGCTGTGCTTTATATTCAGTTAACCAACCAACCACCCAACCCAACCAAACAATCTACCAACCAGTTCAACCCAACCAAATAATCACTTAATACCACCAAACCAACCAAACGAAACGACCTAACAATCAACCACCCAATCCAACACAATCCAACCAACCATTCACCCAACCCAACCAAACAATCAACCAACCCGTTCAACCCAACCAAACAATCAACCAACCCGTTCAACCCAACCAAATAATCACTTAATCCCACCAAACCAAACCAACCAACTAATCACCCAATCCAACCAAACCAACAAAACCAATCCCAGCCAAGCAATCAACCAACCAGTTCAACCCAATCAAATAATCACTTAATCCCACCAAACCAAACCAACCAACCTAACCCAACCAAACAATCAACCACCCAATCCAACACAATCCAACCAACCATTCACCCAATCCTACCAAACCAACCAACCGAACAAAACCAAACCCAACCAAACAATCAACCACCCAATCCAACACAATCCAACCAACCATTCACCCAATCCTACCAAACCAACCAACCGAACAAAACCAAACCCAACCAAACAATCAACCACCCAATCCAACACAATCCAACCAACCATTCACCCAATCCTACCAAACCAACCAACCGAACAAAACCAAACCCAACCAAACAATCAACCACCCAATCCAACCCTACTAACCAATCAATGCTGCCAAACCAATCTAAGCAAACCAACCAACTAACTAACCAACCAAACTCATCCAACTAATCAACCACCCAATTCAACCCAACCAAACAATCAACAACAAAATCTAACCCATCCAAACAATCAATCTCGTCAAACCAATCCAACCAAACCAACCAACCAAGCAAACCCAACCAAACAATTAACCACCCAATTCAACCCAACCAACCAAACCCAACCAAACAATCAACCACACATATTCAATACAATCCAACCAACCAATCACCCAATCCAACAAAACCAATTAAACCAAAACAAAGCAACGCAACCCAACCCAACCCATCCCACCAACCAACCAACCACTTTAAATAAATTTAAATGCATAATACCTTTGTTTAAGTGTGCTGTGGGACAGACCATAAATGTCTATGTCAGACCGGATGTACTGGCACATCTGTTCAGAAATCTGTACAAAATAAATAAATTAATAAATAAAAATAAATTCAAAAATAAATAAATAAAACTTTCACAGAAAGAAAAAAAATATATATAATCAAAGATAATCCTTGCAGACATATGTTCAAACTTATGTCAAAAGATAAATAAAATACTTCCAGAAAGAAAGAAATATATGCAAGGATAATCCACTACACATGGCATGAGGAGGGAAAACTTAAAAAGAGAGCCGAGAACCTCCGGACAGGGTTCATCATGGGGCACGGACAGGACACAGCTGCGGTATAATTCATAATCGAATGGAAACCTCATTTACATACATCATTCAGACCGCTTACACAAACTCAACACCACCAGTTAATTTCCCCAGTGTCCCACAGCATTATTATGTTTTAATTGCTTGGCCATATTTTTGCACCAGATCCAGTCCGGACCGTATATAGCTGCGCTAGTACAAATACGCAAACCCAACGGGGTCGACCAATTCTCAAGGATTAAACATGACCTTGAGTATTACACTCGCATCGGGTTGATAATATGAGTGTAATACATATGAGATATTATGAACTTTGTTCTAAAGGTGCGTTCTGTAGTCATCTGTAAACAAACTGCAGCCGATCCACAAGAGAGTTCGGTTTTAATCCACTGTCGTCTTTTTCTCGCACACATGAGCAGCTGCTGGAATCACAGATGAAAATTAACACAACAATATTTTCTTTATCTCGCTCGCCCTCTCCCCGCTTCCTGATCGGCCTCCAATCATAACAATATTTTAATCTTATTGGATTGTTTGTATGAATAAACATATTTTAGCATTTGATGTAATGATGGGCTGATGGAGTCATTGAAACATGTAACAACTGCGACAAGCTAACAGAATGCTAAAATGCTACAAGATGTTAAATCATATTAGCTGAGAGCTAAAATAGTACAACATGTAAAATACTAGCTTTAGAAACAAGCAACTTCCTAAGCATGCTAATTTGTTAAAACATTTTAGCATCTTGCTAAAACATGTTTCCATGTTAAAAAAACGTATAAAATATAAACTATTAAAATATTTAGCTACTTGTTAATGTATCAGCAGCATCCGAAACGTACTAACAACATTTTATTTATAACACATTGCTAAAATGGTGCTAAAATAACAACATACTAAAGTGTAACCACTAGGACATGCTAGCAGCATGCCACAATGCTAGCAGGGTGGTTTGCAAAACATGTTTGTAACTAGTTTGAACTGACAGGTAACAGCATGCTAAAATATGATAAATTATGTTAGCATTACATTAAAACAGATTAAAACAACAAGCAGCTTGCTAAAACATGCTAGCAACATGCCAACCCCCCAAAAAAGTTATAAAGTGTAAAATCATGTACATCATGTAATCAGGCTAATAATACAAGCAAAGTGCTAACAATGTTGTACCGATGTAACAAAGCATGTTAATAACTAGATTAAAGTAACTAAAAACATAATAGTAATGTTAAAATATGTTCGCAACAGACTAAAGCAGCAACTGAAATGCTATTTAAATGTTAACAACTTGTTAAAACATGCTAGCAACTTGCCAAAACCTACTAACAACATGTCTAAACATACTAGCAAATTGCTTAAACATGTCATCATTAGGAGGAACATGGGAATAACTAGGACATGCTAGTGTCATGCTAAAATTATGTCAGTGTAATGTAAAATCAGGTTGAGAACAGGTTAAAATTACAAGCAATGTAGCAATGATGTTCCGAATTAGCAAAGCATGTTGATAACTCTTAAACAAACCAAAAACATAATAGCAATGTTGAAAAAGGATAGCAACAGACTAAACAGCAATTTAAATGTTATTTAAAAGTTAACAACCTCTTAAAACATGCTAGCAACTTGCCAAAACCTGTTGAAATATACTAGTAAATTGCTTAAACATGTCATCATGAGGGGGAACATGGGAGGTATAACTAGGACATGCTATTGTCATGCTAAAATGTAATCAAATGTAAAATCATGTTAGCAACAGGCTAAAAGTACAAATAACGTGCTAGCAATGTTGTACCAACTTAGCAAAGCATGCTAAATGAACTGAAAACATAATAGCAACACTTTCAATCAAATTAGACCCTACTGAAAAAACCAGCTTAAACCAGCCTAGGCTGGTTGGCTGGTTGTAGCTGGTCGACCAGGCTGGTTTTAGAGGGGTTTCGGCCATTTCCAGGCTGGTTTTCAGCCATTTCCAGCCTGGTCTTAGCTGGTCAGGCTGGAAGATGACCAGCTAAAACCAGCTTGACCAGCCTAGCCAGG